CCTGAGAGCGAGCCATAAGTCGGGGTCGGCATCTGGCTGGTCGACGGCACCTGCATTCCAGCTGTGACCGACAGGCAGCGTAGAGTCGACCATATCAGCAACTGAGGCAGAATCCCCATCCTGGTGCATGGGGTCAGGATCAAAGGGCGATCTCCACTGTGCAAGGCCATGATCGGGACTATGGCTGGAGTCCGATGCGAGATCATCCTCGCTGGCCTGTACTGCGTAAAAGATCAAAGTGGTACTGCGCAAGAAGTGAACGTCTTGCCCTTGTCGACGTCCTCCTGCTACAGCAACTTTATAGGCGGGTGGCACTTCAACCTCAAATCTTGCAAGCAGGCTGGGAATGTGTATCGTGGACACATGCGTGTGCACAAAGCGCGGCTTAAGACCAAGTGGGCGTAGGTCAAGCAGCACAAAGTAATCACGAACTTGTGATCTGCCAGTGGCAGTCTGACCGCCAGGCGGTACGTCGACGACAGTAGTCACAAAGTGGCAATGGTCCCCGTGCACATTGAGGTCCTGCACGGGGAAAGTGCAGAGGCTGATCTCATGCGGGGGAACGTGCAGTTTGCGGCAAATGAAGTCGACTGGTGTAAGGCCAGGATTGTCATGGTTGAGAAACAGGTATCGGCTGGAGCGATACATGACGCTAACTCCCTCGGCAAACTCGACTCGCGGGAACTGATGCAATGGCCCAAAATGCAAACCGTCTCGAAAGAGAGCGTCATATCGAGGTTTATCGAACCTGGCTGCAAGGCTGCGCACAACAGTGATAACATCCCCATCATGTAAGTCGACTACAGCGTGATTGGGCCAAGGATTGGCCCGACAGCCTACGTAGATGAGTAGGGAGTCACCGGCATCATCTGTGAGTGGCAAAAGGAAGTTGACTAGGGCACTATAGTCAAGCTGCTTGGGCAGGATGGTGGCGAAGAACCGTCCACCCACACGTGTTGCATCGACAGCAACAGCACATGAACCATTAAGCCCGCAGAATCGGATCAAGCTAGGAAACCGAATGAAGGTAGCATATCCTGCATGCCTCTGCGGAAAGGTAGGAAGGAGGGTGTCGAAGAGTCGGTTGTGTGGTAAGGGACACCGCCTCCTAACGAGGTCCAAGACTGTGGTATGGTCGAGGCTGTTATCTACCTTGACGGCGAAAGAAACCGTGTGGTAGTGGGGTGTGTAGACCGTCACACCTAGCCAGGCGGCCTCATCGCTGTCGGTCGTGTCGGGCTGTTCCTGTGGAGCAGGCCAGGGCAGAGGATCATAGCACAGTCTAGGGTCTGGAGGGGAGGGTTCGTGCTCGTAGTGTGGGGGAAGCGTCGGGCTTCCTAGTCCAACAGGCATGTTGATATCCTCGACGGGTTGGACGTAGGGCATGTAGCGGTTCACAGCTGCAGCCTCAAGTGCTTCTGGCTCCTCTGCTACCCCGGCCCTTACCATACCCTGACACCCTATGGGACCTAAAACCCAAAGGGAGATGGCTACTGGGTGTAAGGAGTATCGCACCGGCAGCGTGGGCCAATGGAAGATGCATGCGAGGACCTGAACAAGGCAACGCAGCACAGGATAACATGTCGGCCTGGTAGGTCGTCGGTGACAGAGACAAGTACGACCTTTCTTATCCCTCCATGGTGCCCAAGAGAGGACAGAGGCGTGACATGAACCAACTTGCAAAGCTCTCACGGCGTTCGCCTGAGGTCCTGTGCCCCAGGAAGCTTGTCGGCGGAAGGATGGACTCAGGGCCTTCCTTCTGCAAAGGAGGAGCTTGACCAGAGCGAGAAACAGGATGGAGAGCAAGCTTCTCGAGAGGGGTAGGAGAAAGTATTCTGCAAAATTGTCCAACACAAGGAGGCCCGTGGCATTGGCATCTGTCGGCACATCCGGTGAAGGGAAATCTTGACAAAAGTCATCAAAGTGTACCTTGAAAGGCTCGGCTGCCGTCCCTGAGCTACCGATACGGCTATTTAGCGCCCGAGCATTGAAAAATGATGTCTCGTGGTACGTAGAGCAGGCAAATCGTGCATCCAAAACTGATTTGCCAACACAATATGCAAAAGCAACTGATCCACGGCAGCCAAATGACAAGGCGCCTTGTTGGTCAGGGAAGCAGTGGTGGCTGGAGGTGAAGCAACCCTGAGGTTTGACACAGAAGAAGGGTTGCGGCAAAACAGTTTCCTGACGGATATTGGCAGGCCTAAGAAGCCCAAAGGGGGAACTAAACCCTAAGGGTAGGGTCTGTATAGGCCACATCAGATTGGGAGCGCTTGAAGTGCTCGATGCAGCTTGGCAGGGACCCCAAGGGCCCAAAGTCCAATGGGGGACCCAAGTGGCCGAGGACAAAGAAGTCTCTAGTGAGGAGCCACGGCAAATGCCCTTCCTTGGGCCGAACAGCGAAGACTCAACTGAGAGAAACTGACGATCTAAGGTGGGACTAAACCAAAAGACCCGAAAGGGATAGGGAAGAAGTAGGTCATCTCTGGCAGGATGACAGCACGAGCTACACTGTCCACCACGGAAGGTACTCACCCCAGAGCCACCGATGTGAGTTTTAGGCACGCTTCCAATGTGTAAAGATGCAGGTGCCAGAAGGCATGGCAGGGACCAACCCACAACATCACCAAAGCCCAAGGAGATGTGAAGGCGGTCGAGGACAACGTAAGCAAGGTATCGTGGGCATAAGGATGGAGGCAGAGTGGGACGTAGGACAGCTGTACAAAGATGTACACTGTACAAGCAAAAACCGGCCTCACTTGTAGCTTTCACTGAGCAAGAAGTGCCTGAGCCTCCCAGGTACGGAGAAAGACATTGACCAAGGAGCACAAAAGGGCTCCATAGCCTGTCTATCTCACGACTTGGAAGGCATGTGGCACCAAAATTTGCCTTCCTGTTGTACTGAGCGCCTTGGAGCCTGTCGGAAACTACTCCAGTGTCCCAAAACCTGGCGAAGCTGTGTTCGTGATCTCTTCCTCGTCGTCGTCCGCCAGGAGATTGACTCCAGGCCGGGACGGTGGCATAGCATTCACAGCCAAGTCGAGGGCATCCACAGCAGACCTCTGTTGTTTGGCGTGACGAGGTCCTCCAAATGGCTCCATGGCGCTCCGGTGAGCCCTGCGCTTTTCGGAAAGCCTCTCCGACAGAATGTGTGTCCCTATGGACTCGCCAGGGTTCGTATGGCTGGGGAATGGCCCAACCTCTGGTGCCCCGGGAGGTGCTGGCGGCACATTTGATGCCAATGTCGCTGCAGGCATCCCAAAGTGTGCCAAGCCCGGGGAAGACATGTAAGGATCGTTGCGTAGGTGCGTGTTCGGCGGCGATGGAGTACCACCCTCCATGCCACGTAGCTGGCTTGTAGTCCCGGGAGTTCGAGGTAATCCAACTGGCGGACGATGTGGAGTTGTCATCTCCGTGTGCTTCTTGGGATCTGTCAACCCTGGGGGTGGACCGGCATTGGCCATGGCAGGGGCCGCCTGCAGGATGCGGCCAAGTTCCTTGTGGAGCTGAGCTTCCGTTAAGGGCGTGTCCTCCGTGGTCAGATCGACTTCCATGGTCGCAAGCTCCGCAGCGTCTGCAGCCGCGACACCACCGTTGATGGCAACCTCCTGCACATGAAGGTAGGCCGCAGTCTGTTGACTTTCCAGATCCTTCACATCTGCTGCGATTCGCTGTTGATCTGCCATGTGACGCTTCTTTTCTTGTTGTAGCGTCTTCTGGAGCTTGGCAACATATGCCATCCAGCTGCGTTCCTTCTGTGATCCTTCGTGGCGTAGCTTGGCCAGCTTTTGGTCGATGCGCCTGGCAGTGTTGACAGCAGTCTGTACTCCGCTCACTAGTCCAGCAGGTCGAGTCCCCGATGTAGGTGGGAAACGTGTGGCCCCAACTTCGACAATAGCTGGAGCCTGCTGCCAGTCCTCGTCGTATGCTGGGAACTTCTGTTCCCCTTTGTACTTGTTCTGAGAGGGCGACCAAGCTCCAGGCCAGTAGCCCCACTTGGAAGGATTTCTTCCACCACCATAGCGATCGTCTTGTCCGGCTTTCCATGGTTGGTGCTTTCCACTCTTGCCCATACCGCAACGGTATCTGGGAGCCGAGTGGTGTCTTTGCAGAAGTCGTAGGTCCTTCTGCGAGGCTGGTAGATTCGCTGTCTGTGCGGCACGGACCCTATGGCGTGCACGAGACCGTTTCTTTCGAACGGCTCGATGCCAATTGGGACTACGCGGGGCAGCTAAAGAGCGTGCAATGGTTTGCACTGGGGCAGCAGCTATCGCCGGCTAGTGGCGTCTTCTGAGCCCTATGTATATGTGTATAATATATACATACATGCATGCATGCATACCTACATATGCATGTATGTATGTAGATAGATGGATAGATAGATAGATAGATAGGGAGCTAGCCACACACACACACACAGGTGCACATATGAGCAGGCCTTGTTGGCCAAGCAGACATGATGACGCGTGCGTTGTGCTTAATCTGCGTGAACCTTGAATTTGGGATTTCTCCATTGGGTAGCAGCCAATGCATCACCAAGCTGTTCACTTCGAATGCGCGAGCATCAACCGCTGCTATTGCTACTGCTACTGGTAGGTCCACGAGCGAATACTCTCGCATTGGTTGTCGGTACGAGCATTGCATCAAGGCGGTAAGCATAATGATGCCGATGGTTGCTTTGCTGACGATGATGACGGTGGTCGCGGTGCCGCGCCTAAGAATGTGATCGTAGCTAATTAGAAAAGTAGACTGGAGTGACTGTCTGTCTTGACATGTCTTGATGGTGGCGAGTCATGACCTGAATGCTTGCAACCAAAGCCATTGACAAAAGTCACAGATGTGCTACGCCAACGTACCCTTATAAGACGAGTGCAAAGGCAATCCAAAGCTGCCCAAAGCCCCAAAATCCCTCCCTCAACCCTCATCCCTAAACCCTAAACCCTCATCCCTAACCCATGTTGCAACTTTCCGTATTTCGGTGTAAACAGAGGGTTTTTCAGGTGGTCCGGGGCGGCCTTTGCCATGGCTTCCGATCCGAAGATGGGGACGTAACCCTGCTTCACCTGTTTATGGGGCTTAGGGTTCAGGGGTTTAGGCCCGTTTTGGGGGGTTTGGGGATGATTTCTGCTTCACCTTTTTATGGGCTTAGGCTTCCTTTAACGGGGTACTATAAGGGTTCCTTTGAAGGGCTCTGTGAAGGTTTAGAGTTTCCGAAAATTAGGGGTACCTTATTTCAGGGTCCTTATTATAAGGATCCTATTATTTAGGGTACTAGATTAGGGTCCCCTTATGGGGCTTAGGGGTCAGGGGTTTAGACCTGTTTTGGGGTTTGGGGCTTAGGGGTGATTTGACCAAAACTCATCAGAACAGCCGTGCGAATGTTGAGAGTTTGGGGTTTGGAGTATCTTTCTTCAGCTTTTGGGTAAGTTAGGGTGAACACCGACCCGCGGAGTCATAACCGGAATAGAATGGAACTACTGATAACACTAGCACTCGTCAAGATTTATAAGGTTGAAGGGTTTAGAGTTTAGAGTGTTGGGCTACAGAGTTTAGGGCGTTTGGGTTCAGTGCTTGGGGCTGGTTAGGTTGAGGTTTGGGCCTTTTCGAGCTGATGCACTGCTGCGGTCTGAGGGGGATTGGGGTTTTGCATGCTCCCGGTTAAGGCTGGATGGGGTAAAGAGACACCCTTCGTGCTTCAGGGTTGCTGGGGACGGGGGGGGTGTGGAACGTTCGGGGACCAGCGCTTTAGGCTTTATCCTGTTACTTGTTCAGGCGGTAGGTTTTACGACATAGGTGAGACAACACTGATCTAGACTCCTGCAGTCGCAGATGTCATATCGAACCCGCCTTGTTGTGGCAAAAGTTTTCTTAAATCCAGAATCCTTTTCAAAACCTTCATGCAACACTCATACCGGACCGCCAGCGCAAGACTTGCTTGGCAGTGCGCAGTCAAAGCCGTTAGGGGGTCGACAGATTGCTCGATTGGCTGTTTGTACGTATACATGTTGGGGCTTAGAGGGTTCCAGACTCATGCCGTGCCGCAATAGGAGCTGGTTATAACCTCCTTTCTTTCGTCATGGGATATGAAAACCCTAAGGCCCTAGGTATAGGCACAGGCCACACCCCAAAGACAGCATTGAGGGTTTGGGCGCCCAGCTACTCAAGACAGGCGTTTGCCTTGCCGGGCAGCCCTTGGAAATCATCTTTCGCTTTTTGATTTCTTCATTCAAAACAAGAAACCCTAAACCCTAAACCCTAGAAGCCCAAGGGGTCATTTACAAACAAATCTTGCTCGTGCGATCTTATGGCTCCAAAGGGGCTCACAGCTGAAGCTTCCCTAGGGCTCCAGTTGCCTAAATAGTAGGTTACTAACCAAGGTTTAGGGTTTAGGGTTTATAGTATATGGTCTATTTAGGTTACTAATTAACCATATACTATGTACCCCAGTAACCTACTATTTAGGTCACTGGAGCCCTAGGGAAGCTTCACCACCTCCTCGCCCGAAACAGCAATCTAGACAAGCCACTCGTTGTACTTTTTTGTGTATGGTTTATAAGGTAACATCAAATAATCAAGGCTGTATGGCGCCCACCCACTGGTGGTAGCTGCGTTTAGCTTTCTGCTGGAGCTGGCCAAGACGCTCGGCATTTTACGGGTCTTGGCATGTCTTGGCTAGTCTTTTTTCGACAGACCCGCCCTAAGAGGTCGACCTTCAACGCTAAGACCCGGAGCCCTAAACCCGAAGCCCTGATCCCTGAAACCCTTAAACCTCAAACTCTTAAACCCTCAGTTGACAGAGTTTTCGCAAAAGGAAGCCAAACGGAGCTTCACGTTTTTATTTGTCTGTTGAACTGACACCACAAAGCCGAAGCCATGGATATCCAGCTGATAACATGAAGGCAAGGAAGACCCCTGACATAAACAGCGCTCCCATCATGCAGATTTCATGAGTCAAGGGTCTGTATAGTCTACACTAAGGAAGATGGTGATGCGACAACTGCGGCGGTGGTGGTGCGGCTTCGAGCCACTCGACGATGTGTTTTGGATTTTTCATGCTTATGGAGAGCCCATCATCAGCCTGCTGAGGTTGAGATCTTAGAAGGGTCTATGGGGAATCTTAAGAGATTCATAGTTTGTGATCAAGGAGTCTATGGGGCGCATAAAGGGGTTGTTAGGGTGTCGGGTGTGAGTACTTAGGGTTGCAACTTGAACGGTATGGGATTCACGAGTTGCACGATAGCTGCCACAGCAAACATGATGTGGACGATTTCGGCACGAGACGCTCACCGTACGGCAGCACGGTACTGAGTATCCCAACCCCGTGCCCTTGCCCCAGATATGATGCTAGAGGCGCCATACGTTTTCTATAAAACCCGTCTGAAACCCTTGTAAAGCTCAGTCATAAATCTCATGCATTTCTTACAACACCATGTTTGTTGTTAGGGTCTGGAACCATTACCCTAAACCCCAAACTGAAAAAGCCCAAGCCCGAATCCTTAAACCCTACCAAACCCAATCCGTAAACCTAAAGCCTAAATCCCGAGTCCCTCATAATCCCCCAAGGCCCCAAGGCAGTCAAGCCACCACCCTGCTTTTACTTGGGTTTGAGATCCCAAGCCCGCCCAGTTCACCATTGTTCTCTAAAGTTTCTTCTTCTTCTCCTTATTCTCGTTATTATATGTTCTTATTATTCATTCTTCTCCATCTTTAATGAATATGGCTATTCTTCTTGACATTATTGCTGCGCTCCCAAAGGCCGAGCTGGGGGTTTAGGGTTTCGGATTTCGGGATTAAGGTCTATAGGGGCATTTCCCAGAGAGCCCAAACCATACACCTTAAATTATAAGGGGATTCAAGTTATGATTTAGGGTATATTCCTTAATTAAGGAGTATATATTGGGCTCTCTGGGTTCGATACCGATATAGTATAGGGTTTCCATACTAGGAATTACTATTATGACTTAGGGAAGTATCCCCCACAACAGTACATGGGACCCTTTAAAAGGGGCATTTCGAGATCCCCAACAGGCCGAGCAAGCAGCTCGACCTGGAGCTCGGCTTGTGCTTGCGGGCCATCTCAAGCCCTGTGCCGGAGGAGTGCCAGCGGCGTAGGGTTCCCTTTAAGGGGGTCTATAAGGCTTAGTATAAGGGATCTATACTTACTTTTGGTTAGTAGACGCCTTGGGCTCTCTTACCCTAGTAGGGAATGGTAGGGTTCCCTTTAAGGGGGTCTATAAGGGTTACTATAAGGGATCTATACTTACCTTTGGTTAGTAGGGAATGGAGGAATGGGGTACAATTATACCTACTATTACTACCAATACTTCCATTCCCTACTACCCAAAGGTAAGATTCGGGTCGAGGGTTTTCAGGGACCGAGGGGTGAAGTTTAGGGTTTAGGAGGGATTTAGGGATTGAGGGGTTGAGGTGTAGGGTTTAGGGTTGTAGGGCTTTGGAGTTGTGGGGCTTGAGGTTTAGAAGATTTGTTTTTTGGGGTTTCGGGGGATTCGGCATGGAGTGTAGGGCTGGGGCCTTGTATGGCATGAAAGATCGTAGGTTCCAGATATGAAGTGTTTTTTGTCAAAAGGATGAACAGAGGGTTGGTTGTGTAGGGTCCCTCGGGCCTTTAGAGGGCTGTATGCAGGTTTACGGAAGGAGCGTAGAAAAACCGTTCCTGCCTTGAGGGTCTGTGAGTATGTTGTAAGGCTGCTCTTTGTTTCTGGTCTGAGGTTGACGATGGTTGAGATTGAGACTTGGCGTTCTTCTGGTTGGGTTTCTATATGAACTATAATAAGGCGGCTAAAAGTTTAACTTTTAGGAGGGGTTCAGAAGTCAGCCAAGGAGAATCGTTTTCGGGATGTTATGTCATGCTGATAGTTGTCGTCGGAAGCCCAAGATCACAAACCTTTACCCAAAAGTAAACCCTAAATCCTCAATACCGGAAGCCCAAGAGGAAACGCCCAAATGGCGGACAACCTAAACTTTAAGCTCAACCCTACACCCTACCCCTCCTCCAAACGGAGGAGAACCAACCCCTAAAGCCCCCCAAATGGAGGACAACCATGCACCTCCTCCACGGCCGGCTTTGCGGCGGAGTAACCTGAGGTTTCTTACTGGAGATTTCGGGAAGCTGACGTTGTCGAGGACAGGTCGGGAAGGTTCATAACTTGACAACGAGTTTGCGAGAAACGAATTAGCCATATGATTCAATTATGAAGATGTTTATGTCGACAAGACCAATAGAAATGGATGAGTATAATCTTTGCCCCTAGAAGTGATTTAGGTCTTGAGAATGCGGCATGCATGTATGCATGCATGCATACATGTTCCATGCATCCATGCACGCATACATACCTCCAGACACACACCAATATGCTGGGGGGAGGGGTGACCATATATATATATATATATAGACACACAGTTTCCATACACACATATACATCTACATCTACATCTACGTGTCCATGTACATGTACATGTAAATATACATGTGTATACATATATATATATATATATATATTTACATAAGTATACATACTTGCATATCTGTACACGTCATCGTCGTCATATCATCGCGGTACCTGAAATCGAAGCCTGAACCAGTAGCAATGACATTCCTTAGAGCTTCTGATGACAATGTGTACCGTAACGTACCACCCCGAAAAAAATTATCTAGTTAAAAAGGGCTTTCATTCGTGCGTCAGGCCTTACCTTCGTAGCTGGAGCCGGAGCCCGAAGTTTTTGGGGTAAGGAGTAACTTGAGTAGCTTGGCGCGGTCAGTGCGCTAGGGTCAGGCATGCTTAGGGTTTAGGGGGTTTAGGGGTTAGGGCTTAGGTTAGGGTTTAGGGGGTTTAGGGCTTAGGGTTAGGGTTTAGTTTAGGGTAAGAGGCCCTGCACCGGAAGTCCTGAAGGCGCTATCGTGCGGGTTGGGTGTCATCACCCCAATCCCTAAACCCGAAGCTTAAAACCTTAAATCCGAAACAACCAACGGCCCTAAATCCTAAACTCCACACCCTAAACGACAAAACCCTAAAACCCTTAACCCCTTTATAGAATCCTTGTAGGCTTAGATCCCTTTAAAGGAACCCTAAACCAGGAAGTCGAGCCTGCCATCCAGTCGGCCCTCCACAGACGACTCGACGTCCCCATGCGCAGAGACTTTTGAGTCCGAGCGGCCTGAAAAAGAGAGAGAGCCCGAGACGGAAGGCGCGGTTTAACATCGGAAATTCGGGGTACACCTTATTTTGGGGTCCTTATAATAAGGATCCTACTATTTAAGGTACTACGAGAGAGCCCGAGACGGAAGGCGCGGTTTAACATCGCGGGAGGGAGGAACAATAGTACCTAGAATAGTAGCAGGTAGCACTATACTGATAGTAATATGTCCTTGAAGAATAACAAAGAGAAATATTCATACCACTATCAGTAACAGTAACAGTACTACTAACATGTGTTGCCATTGTTATTGGTATTGTTATCCCTAGGGTTCCTTTTTGTACACATAGTCATACAGTATAAGTCTCCCGCAGGCGCGCTTGAATTTCGGGGTCGGATTAATGTTATTCCTTGAAGTTCCCTCTTGTGATCCTAGAATAAGGCATAAATGCATATGTACAAACATAAATGCATATATAGAGTATCCTTGGGATGTCGTGGCTTAGAGTTCAGGGGTCGGTTACAAGGCTTTGCGAACCCTCACCTACCTCTTGACGAGACCAGCCCGGCTAAGCGACCACAATATCGGGACCTAAGTTCTTACCAATGTTTTTTGGGGTTCCTCACCATAAAACCCTATTCTAATTATTAAGGCCCCTTTATCAGATTCCTGAATTCGTGCTTCAGCTAGCCAGTGAGGAGCCTTCAATGGGATTTTCGAAGACCCGGGTGCTGTTGAGGACAGGGTGAGTGAACAATGCTGTCTTGCGGGAACCGAAGGGATTTCTAGAGAAAATTATCGGTAACAACAAGTGTAATAAACAGAGATTTGAATAAGGTAATAGTCTCAATCATCGTTATATGAATCACAATACCAGCAATAATGAGGGTTCGTAGATGACTTCGGGATCTTGCGGCATGCCATTGTGCCCTGAACGGAAGGGAAAAGGCCTAACACCTAGAATCCTAAACCCTTGAGCCTTCAACCCTGAACCCTTGACCCTCCACCCGAAGCCTCAAACCGCGCCTTGTGTCTTGCATGATTTATGACGGCGGCGGGATGCACACAAAGCTCCTGGAAGATCCTGGCAGCAGTCCAGGCACGCCGAGGCCATTTTAGAGGTTTTCGGGTATCGGGGTGTAGTGTTCAGGTCTTAGGGTTTCGGGTTTAGGGTTCAGGTTTTAGGGTTTCGGGTTTAGGGTTCAGGTCTTAGGGTTTCGGGGTTTAGGGTTCAGGTTGTAGGGTTTCAGGTTTTGGGATTTGAGCTTCAGGGTTTGTAGATCTTGGGAGCGTTCGGCTCTCTGTCAGGCCCTGAAAGGGAGGAGGAACTGTGCAGAGTTTGGGGCCTTCCTCGGAACGTAGCCCACACATGTCATGGACATCGAGGACCCCTGATTGATAAACTCCCATGTTGTTCAAGAGCCTTTAAATTGCCATGAGGCTCCTTCTCATGGTCCGTATGGGTGGGGGGGGGGGGGCGGTGTACAAATTCAGGGGTCGACACCATGCTACTCTTATGACCAGCACCAGGATGTCGGGGAACCGGTATCCCCAATAGCCCCAATGCCTCTTAACTAAGGAATCTATACCGAAATGCTTGGGTTTATGAGCCCTCCATGATTGAAGATTGTGGAGTGTTGGGGGTGATTGGAAGACTGAAGCTCCGCGCTTTAGCATCGCAGGGTGCCTCAAGTGCCCCTTTTTTCATTGCCACCAGCACGCATGTGAGCTACGTGGCATTTCTGTTGGTGTCAGCAGAATCGCTGAACAATGAACGGAGCGGAGTGGAGCAGGCTAAACCCCAAACCCTCACATTCATATCGGCAGCAAGCCCGGTGTGCATGCATTTCACTTTATATATATATATATATATGTATATATATATATATATATGTGTGTGTGTGTGTGTCTTTGGGTCATACGTGTCGAGAATTTCAGTCGAGGGATTGTGCAAATGTTCCCTGACAGTTCCTACGAACACTGACTGAAAAGATACATCCGCAGCCAACCCCACTCCCATTACTAGCTGTGGTCTTTGTAATCACTATAAAGAAAAGCAGCAGCTATAGGCATCATTACTCTAATCACTTTAATCGTCGTAATAACAATAATACTAATAATGAGCAACTTAAAATTAGGAATAATCACAAGGCTATTAGTAGTACTAGTCGCAAAAGTAATAGCGGCGTCATAACAAGAATAGTAAGGACTATGGGAACAATAAGCACATGTACAGGGATCTGATGTCAGACATTAGATCTGCTGGCGGCTCACATGCCTGGAATTGCCGACCCAAGCGGATGGGAGGAAGACGGTGACGGTTTAGGGAAAAACAAGAACTTCAGGATTAGAGTTTGGGGTTTAGAGGGTTTGGGATAAGCAGGATTAGAGTTGGCTATACAACCCTAGAACCTTCACTAGGAATGAGCAGCGTTCAGGGATACGAGGATTAGGGATGACGATAGTTTAGGTTGCATAACTTTACCACCCAAAAACTCATCATGCACTTTGAAACCCTTACGACACCCTCAGGCCGCATGTTTTTGCTGGGTGAATTCTGGGAAGAGCCTTCCATCCGAAATGGCGTTTCACTGCTTGGAGATCCGCGTCCTGTACAGCCATGAGGATCCCAGCTTCGCGAGCAGCGAATGAGACCGGCGGTTTGCAACTGAGGGTGTGGGGTATTGAGGTATGGGGTTCAGGTGGGGTTACTGTAAGGGAAGTGCAAAGGTCGATGACGAGCATGAGGGGACACTGCAGCCCACACTGTACTCCTTGAATAGATACAGCATCACAACCTATGGAATGATGTCGGCAACTACAGTTTTCGTGCTGGTACCTGCAGCAGCCAGCAGCCTTCCCAAATCTTGAAGCCGGAGGCTAGCAGCACGAGATCTCAAGAAGGATAAAGTTTTCATTTTACCTACAACAGCAAACCCGACCTCAGTTTGTGAGACCTGGGTGTTGGGGTTTCTGAAACCTACTCGAGGTCGGGAGAACCGGAAATAAGAGTCTCCTATGTCCCGAATATGCTTCTGGTAGAGCTCATCCCAGAAAACCCCGTTCTGAGTATCCAGGCCTCTAACCAGAGACTCCAATATTCCCTAATTAGGGAATATACCTTGAATCATATTAGGGATCCTACCATAATTTAAGGCATATTCCTTGATTTAGTGATATTGGAGTCTCGGGTACATTGCAGTGGTTTCCTGGCGCCTTTGGGGGGCGCTCCGGAGGGCGCCAGGAACCTTTGGAAGGGGAAATCTCCTGGCAGCCGACTGTCTAATATAGGGGCCGAAGTACTTACCAATACTATTGTGGGGGTTCCTTATTATAATCATAGTATAGTGGGCCCCCAAACCCTATTCTAATCATTCAGGCCCCTACAGTAGCAATGACATGCCTTTCCAGGCCTTAGCTTCTTCTTACAGTTGTGTGATATTGATTGCAGCATGTAACCAGACACCAGGTGTTGGGAGTCTTCTGCATTATTGTCTTGCTGTTGGCCCTTATACTGCCTCATGATCCGGAGAAAACCTGAATCCTCAAATCGAAAAAAAGCACACATTCCCTACAAGTCCTTTGAAGGATGATCTGCGCACGTCCTGTCAGGCGCGCGCTCTGGGTCTCGGTCCTCATGTCTTCAGTGCTGCTCTTCTTCTCGCAGCGTGCATCAGCGGAGAGGCATGTAGGAACCAACAGGTGGTAACAGCAGTCGTCGTCGTCGGCGGCGTCGTCGTTGTAGTCGTGGGTTTCTGCAGTCCGCTTCGTCAGGGCTTGCGGATTCTCCGATCCGGTTCAGGTTCTTGAGCCTTTGAGGGTCTCACTGGGTTCGTGAGTTCAAGCTTCGGGAGATGAGATATGGGAGTTTGCGAAAATTAGGGGTACCTTATTTTGGGGTCCTTATAATAAGGATCCTACTATTGGGGTACTATATTGGGGTCCCCTATTTTCGGAAACTCCCATATTGGTACTACGTACCTGAAAAGAATCTGCATCCCAAACCGAAAGTCTCGTCATGTGGCCTAAGCTCCTGAATGCCGTACGTTGTACGTTACCCAAAGGCCCCAAAGTAGTTCCTTTTTATTGGGTTCATCTAGAACTCTATAAGGTAATCCCAAAAGGGACTATTATGGGGCCTATGGGTAGACCGTACCCGAAACCCTACCTTAACCCGGAAGAACCTACCTTTTTGAGGACTTACATGAGGAAATCATAATAACGAGCCCGAAAAAGGTAGGTTATTCAGGGTTAAGGTAAACCCTATCGACTCTCCGGCCCTTCTACAGTGCGTCCCCATCCCACCTCGTGGTGGCGGGCCTTTGAATCAGGACACTCCCGGCCTCTCAGGCTTATAAACCCGAAAAAACACCTAAACCACCCTAAAACTCGAAACTCTCTCAACTCTAAACAGAAAGCATCCTGAAGCCACAAGAAATCGAGTGCAGGAAGCCAGGATCCTAATATGGTACCTTAAATAGTAGGATCCTTATTATAAGGGCCCAAGATACGGTACCCTAATTTTCGGAAACTTTCAAGATGCCTAAACCCTAAACCCTCCTTGCAGGTGGGATGACTTTGCTTACCGCTTTGCCCCGGAGTCGCCGCCCACGCAGAGCCATTCCACCGAGGCTGAGGCCGGCTTCGACAGATGATTCCATAGGTTTCCTGTAAAGGGTTCTTAAAAAGGGTCCTAGTAGGGTTACTATAAGGGGTTCTTAAAAAGGGTCCTAGTAGGGTTACTATAAGGGGTTCTTAAAGAGGGTCCTAAGGGTTACTATAAGGGGTATTCTGGGGGTGTAGTATAGGGGTTTGCCTGTTTAGGGTCAGAGGAGGCCAAAAGGGGTTTTAGCCTATGGGGGTTTAGTAGGGATTAGGGTTCCCATAATAGGGTTAATAACCCCAAGAATCTTAAACCCCCCTGTTGGCCTCCCATCATAGCGTTTCAGGGATCTTCGGGTTTCTTCGGGGCTGTTGGAAGTGCAGTTTATTTTTCGTCCTTCCAAAGTTTTCAGAGGATTTTGTGGAGGCTTCTTGGCTTGCAGCTTGGGGTCTTGAGCT